TCTTTCCCTCCTTCACACATTAGGAGCGTTTTGTGGCAGCTCTACATGTGCATTTTCCATCCGATCTATTCATTCATGAATTGGGTCCAACTCCTCCCTCATCAATCTCCTCATCTCCCCCATCATAGCCTCCATGAACAGTTTAGGATCAAACTCCCCCAATGTTTCCTCAGAAGTGTTCTTCTCCTTCAGGTTGTACATATTGGTTGCAAGAGACAAAGTTAGAAAAAGAAAAGGAAACAATGGAACCTCACAAAACTCCCTCACGTGTTTCACTCAAGAATGTAAATCACTGAACCCTCGTTTTTTTTTTTTTTTTTGCTCAATTTAATTGTCTATAGGTTCTTTGCAAACTAATCAAACAAACCATGAAAACTACGGGCATCAAAGTCTTAGGTTCTAGCCACTCTCTAATAGCTCTAACCTCATCAGGATTAGCAAAAACATCTTTATCAGACACAATAAACTCTAAGAACAAAACTTGATTTTGCATGAAAGAACACTTCTTAAGGTTTATGAACAACTTAGCAACACGAAGAGTTAAGAAAACCTGACGGAGGTGGTCCAAATGTTCATCCCTAGTCCTGCTATAAATCAATATATCATCGAAGTACACAATAAGAAATTTACCTATGAAGGGACGTAAGACATGAGTTATTATTCTCATAAAGGTACTAGGGGCATTGGACATTCCCAAAGGCAAGACTAACCATCCATAAAGTCCATCTTGTCAAAATCCCCGAAACAATTCACCAAGAACTTATCAAGAATCTCTATTTTCAACGATTCTTGCTCTCAAGATAGCCCCAAAAAACTTAAAACTTCAGATACTCAAGACAACGCACGAATTTAGGCCCGACAAATGCGGTTGTAACGATTTTTTTTAACCTTTTTTTTTTGGACGAAATTAATCAATGGATAGGCAAACCTGAGACTAGAGCCTATGCTCTAATACCAACTTATATGAACCCCGCCAAGAAAACTGACAAAACCCGAATCAAGAAAGTCTCCAAGATCGATCTAAAACCAGGCTTGAGTGGAAACCTCGACCCCTTGCTTATATGGAAGTAAGAACCTTGGTATATTGAGGACGCCACAATCATCGATGGAAGAATTGATTGATAAGTCAAGAACGAACGCCACAGAGAATCCGATAAGTTCAAGAAGTTCTTAAAGAACCAAAGAGAATGCTCAAACTTTTTACTGAAAAAAATACTCTTCTGTTATTAATGATATGAAGCACGCCTATTAATAGGCTGAATTTACATAAATTCGAATTTTGGTCAAACTCAAATTTTGGTGGTCAAACTCTATCCTAAAAGAAAGAAATTTATTGTAAACAAAAGAATTTTATCGTTTTGGATAAACACTCCTTATTTAACTTCTAAACAAACTCTGAATCTAAAAATAAACTAAAGATAACTATTAAAATGGATAACTATAAAAAATAGTGATAAAAGATAACTATCAATTTATTGATCTTGATCCTTAAAACTTGGTGAACAGTAACGTGCGCGTGGACAGTAACACGGCCTCTTCATGCTAATCCTTATTCAGAAATTGCTTTGATGACTTGGCTCACCATTAGTAGTAACCATGCATGCTTCTCTTTTCTGGACTCTTGGATTAATCTATTAAGTGCCTCATTGACCGTTTAGCCCGAGCTCTTGTGACTGGTCCTACCGGAACTTAAAGCGGATCTAGCCCTAATCGTGCTCTCATCAGCGTTTATGTTGGAGAACTGATTGGAGTGGGTGTCATGCTGGAGTATCAAATTTAGTCATCAAATGTGTTAAAAGCTGACATGGCAGCTTTAACAGTTTTTGTGCAGATACAGCTGGGCTTGCTATTGTTTGCTCATCAAGTAGCTGCACCAATCACAGTTGGTTTTGCGCGTTGTGTGGTTTTCTCTGTGGGAACTCTTGAAACAAAAATAACCTGTAAATTAGAGGCTTTATTGTTTTAATAATTGTGACAAGGGGATCAGTTGTTGATGAAAGCCAATGCTCTAGTAACCTTGTAACAAGTCATTGTTACAGCTTGGGTCTTCCTTTTGACCCAGACATGAGTTACAAGATTTTGAAATTGGAGCCTTCTGCCAAACCCTACAACCTTTGGAAGGAAGGAAACTATGACTTTTGTCATGTAGGTACCCATGAGGTGGTTCGAACCCCAGACCTTGTGAGAGCAAACCAAAGGATTAACCATTCCAACCAACAATCCATGGGTGTTGGGTTATAAGATGTCACATGTTTTCGAAACGTATTTCCAGTTCTTATTTGTTTCATGGTTAGGTAGCAAGTGAAGGTTATCCCTAAAGCATAGTAGCGCATTTGAGTCATAGCTGCTCGAGCAGCAATAGTGTAACTGGCACTAATTTGAGAAAAAATTAGTAGAGCTGGACCAGCAGACTCTAATGTAAATAAGAGTCAACAATATCTAATTATTAGGTTGCCTACACTCTGCAAAATTAAGGCCTATATTGGGTTCACATAGAAAAGCAAATTTCTCAGTTTCTAAAATTAATTTAGAATCTCTTTGACTAATTTATATGTTCCTTATCTTGTTTCTAAATTAGTTTCTAAATTAATTTATCTGTTTCTTAACAATTTACATCATTTCAAAGAAAAAAAAAACAATAAATTTACAATCTTTTTTTTTTTTTTTTTTTTTTTCTATAATAAGAAACAGAAATTTATTGAAAAGAACAGTAGTTCTTTGATTAATATTGCATAGAAATTTGCTTGCCTCCAAAAAAAAAAAAAAAAAAAATTTAAAAATTTTTTTTTTTTTTTTAAAAAAAAAAAAAAAAAAAAAAAAAAAAACCAAAAGAGTACAACAGACAGAGGACAAGGAGTCCTAAAAACCTAAAACACCTAAAGTAGTATCATCAATGAGGAAAAATTTAGTACAAAATTAATTTCTCTTTCCTCAGCGAATCCGAAAATGGAAAAAGAACAAAATCTTTAGTTTTGAAAGATGCGTTTGTTTGACAACCTAAGCTAGTTTTAATTGTCCTCCCAGATGGTTGAAGAAATTGACTCTAAATTTGATTACAGCTTACTATTGCTCTTGATTGTGGTTTTTTGCAATATATGAACTCATTTATTTAAGGGACATATAAAGTTTAAACATAATCAACTCGTAATAGCTATCTGATAATGGACGTGTCACTAGGGTGCTTGATGAATTGACTGTGCTTGTAGTTTTCGAGTATTAGAGATGTCCTTTTTTTTTTGGGAGGCTATTTCATCTAGAGTCTTTTGTGTGTTTCATTTTTCATAGATCTTTGTTAGAACAAGGCCACACATGCTTCGATTATAATTTTGGTGAAAAGTCAATTTTTTTACATTTTTTAAGTTTCCTTTTGCAGACCTTGCTAAGAACCTGGTTGCTTCTGGGCCTTATGGACTTATATTCGCATCATTTGTGCCCTTTTTCTTTGACATCCCAGTTTCAACACGTTTTCGTGTATTTGGTGTGCGCTTTTCCGATAAATCTTTCATATACTTGGCCGGTCTTCAGGTAAAGACTAAACTATAACTAGTATTTACGTTCATTGAACCTTATGCAAGCATTTTACTTTTTTTTGTCGTATGGTAGCTGTTATTTCTTTCTCTAGACATCCTCACCTAACTTTGGTTTATCGTTTGCAGCTTCTCTTATCATCCTGGAAGAGATCTATACTACCAGGGGTGTGTGGTATCCTTGCTGGTTTTATATATCGCCTGAATATCTTGCGCATTCGCAAGGCCAAGGTACTTTCCACTCTGATGACCGGAAAAAAGAAACCATTATACGTCTTTTTCTTTTCACCATTTGTAAATTTATAATGTGCATAACTTGTAGCATCAGGCTTCATACTTTCCGTAGATGTACCACTGAAGTTTAAGCTTTTGTAGTTGAATAGTCGGACATATTAGTCAATTTTGGGGAAAAAGGAAAGCACGTTTTATTTAAAAACTCTTCCATTCATTAAAGTGAGGTTGCTAGGTCAGAGGTTTTATGAATCCATCCATTTCACAAGTTTACACGCCACAAACTGTTGTGGCTTTCATAATCTTCGGCAGGAGTGCGTCTTAATTTTTCTCACCAATTCTTGCTTTTTTTTCTATTTAAAAAAAAAAAAAAAAGACCTCGCCGCTTTTCTACATCAATGATTTTGTTGCAACTAAGAATCAGATTGCGGATTGTCACTTAGTCTAGTTATGAACTTTATACTCTATTAAACAGTGTACGTCTTTCTGCGTGCTTGTGTCGTATGTATATGTTCATTCCTGCATATGTAACGTGTATGTGTGCTAGCATATTTGTCCACATATGTGTACTTGACATGGTCCAGTCATGTCCCCTCCAACTATATAGTAATAAACTATAGATTTAACAATATATTTGTTAAGCTTAGTTACTTAACTGCTCTTGAATTGCAGGATTTTGCGTGCATTGTAATTTTTTTAGGTAGGTTAGAATCGCCAGAGTAACTTAGAGCCCGTTTGGTTGGAGGATTCGTTCTCTGATTCGAATCATGGTTCATGATTCGCTACAGTATTTTCTCTAAAAAAAACACACGTAAATTGAAAAAAGTTCTAATCTCATGGTTCTAATTCATTAACCAAACGTGCTCTTAACCACATTCATGTGCGCCTTTTTTTTTTTTTTTTTTTTTTCCTTGCAGTTTCCAGAGTTCATAACTTCGTTGTTTTCTCGACTTTCTTGGCCATCCGTTGGGGGTCCTCCTGCAGCACCGAGTAGGGGAAATTTACCATCATTTGCAGGTCGCCCAGTGGAGGCAAGTTATCAGTTTCTTTCTAGTCATTAGTTTTGATTTACTCTCCACACAAGTCACTCTGATCGCACATGCAACATGATGTGAAGTATTGAAAGGTTACTTAATGGCAGGGGGGTAGTGATACTGATATTAGGATCGGGATTACACAATAGTTTTCAAGTTTTACTTTAAAAGTTTTACTTCACCAATCTGAACATTTGCTGGGAGATAACAAGAGTATATAATTGTGATATTAATTTGCGTAATTAATAACTGATTTCCTGCACATCTTTGCTCTCAGAGAAATTACCCTTCTTCTATGCCGTCGTCTGCTATGGAGCCATCAGAAGATTCCATTGCTACTCTAGTTTCAATGGGTTTTGACAGGAACAACGCTAGGCAGGCACTGGTGCAGGCTCGAAACGATGTGAATGTTGCCACAAACATTCTTCTTGAGGCGCAATCCCACTGATTCTGTAGAGATTTTTCTTTGATTATGGGACTGAAATTCAGAAGCTGAATTCCAATCATTAATCCAATTCTAATGGTCAGACAATTTTGCTTGCTAGGGTGATTGAGCCGATATGCTTTCTGCAGATACAGAAGCACTCGCGGCATCATTCTTAGGGACTTTTTCCTTCTCTTCTTTATTTTCCTTGTAGCTCAATGCCTTCAAAGAGTTTTTTGGAGCTTGTATAATATGTTTATAACCATATTGGAAACATGGGGAAGGAATCAATCCTCTTCTGAGGAGAATCAGAGATGTATAGTTCCTGATTTAATGCTTTCTTTGAACAATCTTTGTTTTCATATGGGCGATTTCGTATTAGCCTTTGCGGATTCATGGATGCAAAATTTATGCTTTGCATTGGCAGAAGTGCACAAGGCAGAGTAGGCATTCTATGCATGATTAAACATCACCATAGACAGGTAATTACTCTATTAGAGGTGCCACGAAGCTTATTTAAGGCGAAAATATGCGAGCTTGGAGAAAATAAGGATTGTAAAGGCAGAAATAAGCCAGCCATTAGGGGTGTTTTTCTTTTTTCTTCTCTAAACCATTTATGATGGTGGGGTCCAAAGACTGAAGGAACAAAGTTATATTCATAACAATCTCGGAATTAACTAAAAACAGAAACTAACCAGTCTCTGTCTGGTATTTTATGCATTGTAATGTCTTGTAATATCTACCACAAAAGCGGGAAAAAGAATATGATACCTTCATGTAGGAAATTTCCATGACATACAATAATCAAATCATTTAAGTAAAAACTAGTAAAGCTCAAGAACCGTAAATCCCACATTAGGGTACACTTATTTTGGCTTCAACCTTCACCGCCGGAACCTCAAATTCATTGAAAACAAAAGGATTCAATACCTTCCACGCCCTCTCTTACGAGAGTGAGCGGGTTGACTTGAAACTCGCATACCTTGTGGAATGCTATCATGAGTATGATCATGTAAAGGTATAGAACCCTACCATGGTAGGGGGGAATGAGCAGAAAGTTTTGGACTTGGACATATCTTAGACAGCGCTTATGTCTACTCGGCTTTTGTGGATTTGAAAGGCGGGGGTGATCCAACTACCACAGCTGCATTGGATGCCTGACCAATTAAAGTAGCCCAACCGAGCGTCACAATGAGCACATGACAATTTGCCTTCCAATGCACCTTCTTCAACTGAAATGACATAACAACCACCAAAGATCAGACCACTTCAAAGTTCAAACGCGTTTTATGTCACTGACCAACCACAAACTTTAGGGCGTGAACATCTAACAAGATTAGCTTTGATAATTAGGATCTAATATCAGATATTAGATTATATGCCGCACATGCATCTACCACCGATGAATGACAGCTGAATAAAGTTTTTACACAAACATAGCAGAGTCAGGATTCTTTGTAGAATACATTGGATTGTAGACAAGAGCAGCCAGAACCAACCAAAAAAAAAACTTTTATATATCGAGTACGTAACTATACCAGATTCCATATGCTTTTACTAATTGCCCATTTGGGTCATATGCTTGAACTGAAATTCAAATTGTCTAAATTTTTGAAAGAGAAAACGTTGTAACAAAAAGAGATCTAAACTAAAACTTTTTGGTTCAAACATATGAAACAAACAGAGGCTAATCCTCTCATAGAGTAACTGGTTCTGATTACCAATGTATTTTATAGCATATAAGAAAATTTAAATATAAGATGAGAGGTCACTACTAGTTCCTATACCTCCTTCCCCATAAATAACGATATATGACAGAGAGGACGTTTTTCTTGTGCTCTTTTGGGATGTTTCCATGTCGATATAAACAGAGGGATGGAAAGGATAATGTCAAAAGATAATAAATTCAATGATTGGTAAGGAACATATGTATGCTTCTAAGCTTTTCTGTGGCATGACATACTAAAAGGCAGACTCGTTTAACTTTGCCTCAACATTTGCACAAACCTAAGAATAAAGTACTAAGGGTAAGAATTACAAATTGGCATATTAGCTTACCTGGTGTCATCCACTGCAGAGGCTCAACAAAAACGGAAGAGCACTCAGACTCCCCAGACTTGTTGACTGGGTTTCCACCTTTTCGCTTGTGCCAATCAAAGGATGTCTCACCCTCACCTGGAATATGATCCAAAACATTCTCCTGCAATGCAACTACTCTCCGGCATTTCTTGCAGCGGTATGCAGTTCTGCAAATATTTCCTGCATCTGAAGGAGCTTCTGCTTCAGAAGAAACCTCCGCAGGCAATCCAGGATCCGCACCAAGTTTAGAACTGTCTATTCTCTCTCCACGATTGTAGGATTCACCTACAATTATGGCAAAAGCATAGTTCTAAGTTACAGCTGCGAAATAGAACTCAAGTTTGTTTTTCCCAACGAACCATGCTAAATGAATTAGATGAAACAAAAATAGATGAATATATAAAACACTAGAAGCTACCATGGTTTACACCATTATAAATTGGGCTACTAGAAGAATTCTCCAAACATGAAAGTTTTCATAATTTCTAAGTAAAACAGGTTTATATGAATATTCTGTCCTAGGGACATCAATAACCCTCAGCTTTTTTTTTTTTTTTTAATTTGCTGACTAACTCACCTTGGCACAAGTTACATGCAATGAAGTTTATAAAGTTCTTGCTATACATTTTAAACAAATTTGAAATGCAAGATGGATGTGAGGAAAAAGTGATAGCAAACATCACCAACATAAAAGTCTAATTGCACCAGTACTTATTTATTACAGGGGTTCTTAGGCTTCAATGTAGCTATCAAATGTTTCGTACTTCCTATGCTCATCCGAATTTTATGTAACCATAATCTAATTCACATGCACTATTACCAGAGTGGAGAGCAAAAAGGAAAGCAAGATACTCCTTTTCACTGGATACTATACTCCTTTTCACTGGATACTAGATACCTTTCACCAAACATGTTAGCTACTACTAAGCGAAACTAATTGTTACACTCAAATGTTTGGAGTGGATAGACAACTGAAACCTTAGTCCAGTAATACAGGACCAGTTCAGTAATTGTTCTTCTAAAAACCTTTATGTTAAAATTTACGCAACTGTATCATGAAATATTTACCATCTTATGTAAAGGGATGTATAAATAAGTACACGATATTACTGCAAATTGCCAGAATAAAGTTACGTTATCTTTGTTTTCTATCATACAATATCTTATAACAAGTACTACTAGCACCTATACTAAAGAAGTTATAAACCGAAAAGTATTAGATCTAAACTCTACATATCAATTGAATCTAAAAGGAGAATAAGTTACACAAGAGACAAATTACCCAACACTTTTAGGCGAAATCGCTTATATATGGTGCTAGCACGATTGACCTTGAATCCCATTTCCTCAAACATTTTTAGCTGCAACCACATAAGAGAGGAAAAATCAGAATTGGCTTAATATTAGGAGATGATCGGCAGGTGTAATGCCATCTTATAAAATAATTTGGCATTGGACGGCCTTGCGTCACCTGATCCAAAAAACCATCATTTGGGCAAACAAACTCACAGCTTTGCCGCAGGGATTCTAGTGCATCTGCAGTAATGATGCATAAGGAAAAAAGCAAAGGAAAGACAAAATATAAAATAATACATTTGACAAAGAAATCTACAAAGCTTGAACTATATAAACAACAGTGCTACCCCGAGTGTCCAAAAATACAACAGAATGGGTAAAAACAAATTTCACAGACATACACCAACGTGTAAATTCACAATGCTTCAAACAAACAACATTGGTTCGCACCTTCTTGAGAGAGATGCTCGGTTCTCATCAGATATGCTGTGATGATAGCTGCGCTGCAACAAGGACAGGCAAAGAAGCGGTTGATAATCACAATTATATAGAAAAGAATATCTAAAAAAGCCATATACTTCAAAATAAAGAAGTCAGGGCTTGGTAATTTCACAAGCATCAAGGCAGAAAAACGTATACTGCCTCAGAACAAAGTTGTACCTTCTTGACACACCGGCAAAACAGTGCACCAAAACTGAACCTTCTTTTCTACTTTTATCAATGAAGTTCAAGCACACGTCCAAATGATCCAACAAATTCTCACTCTCCATATCTCTCATCGGCACCGCCATCCTCACCAGCTTAAATTCCTTCCCTGCATATTCCAACGAGTACAAAAGCTTCCCGGGTGACAAAGCACTACTTGACAAATCAACTGAATCATCCTCAGAAGCAGCACCAACATAAACCTTCTTAATTTCCTTCGCCGGGATTATGAGACCGCTACGCCATTCAGAGAAAATTGAGATCGATGCTGAACTAAGCATAGACAGAATATGTGTGATCTCACTGCTACCATTTTGGAGAACTTCTGCAGCGTCCCCGATGTTGCCAATGAATAGATTCTCGCGGACTAAGTACGGCATGACGGCAGACAACTAATGATTCTTGCAAAAATGGTTGCAAACTCCTAAACTCAAAGTATTAGGGGAAAAGAAAAACAAAATACTTACTTCCCATTACAATGCTAAAATACATTTAAGCTGATCAATACTACTTGAGCTTCAAACAGAAAGCAATACACAAAATGGAAATTGTAAAATTTGGTTGGCAATGAAATCCATAAATTTAAATTACAAATTCAAAAAAAAAATTAATAAAAACAATTCTTCCTTTTATAATACTAACAAGCATTTATGCACTGGCTTGCGATACAAAATTTGATTGGTAAGAACTAAGGAAGTCCCCTAAATCCTAAATTCCGAATATTGGGGAAATAATCAAATAAGAAAATCTTGCTTCGTTTAGACTGATTATTCTTCAGCTGGAAATGAAAATGCAAAAACTTCATTATTGATAAATCTCATGAAAGAAAATTCACTTTTCCATTACTACAAGAACTAGTCGACTCTCTTGAGATGATTTCTTCATATTTTCAGAGAGGACAACAGTATTAATGAGAACAATAACGATTATAAACACCATTTTCTTTTAATTTTCTCTCCAACCAAACACGTTTTATGGAGCGAGAAACGAATAGTGAACTCACTTCTAACACACAAAAAAAAAGTAAAATGAAATTAAATTAAAACAAACTGAAATAACTTCGATATTCATAAATTTTAATCAAGGAAAACATGGAATTGTTGAAAAATAAAAATGAAAAACCATACCTTGAAATTCAAAATATTCCGTCGAAGAAATGAAAGCTTTTTTTGCTTTTGTTCAATTAACATAAATTTGTGCATTATATATATAGTGATACACACGTGCGAGTAAATGCTGTTCGGCCTAATAGACTGGCTGGCACGTGCGGGCTCCTTACTTCTAGTTTTGGGATGCAACGTGTCAAAGATAAAGGCGTGGCATATGCGTGTGAAGGAGGTCCCCACCAAATTGCTTTCGGTTGATGGACGGTGCTCGTGCTGGCCTGTCTCTGACGTGGCACGATCAGCATCTTCCACTCGGATTGGTTGATCCATAGTTGGAGAGTACATGCTCTTTTCCATATTAATCTAAGACAACCTAATTGCTAATCACAAAAAAAAAAAAAAAAAAAAAAAAAAAAAAAAAAAAAAAAAACGTTTTAAGACAACCTAATTACCTAACTGTTAAAAAAAAAAAGACAAAGTCTTATAAATTTTTCAAGGGTAGCTAACAGAGATCATTGTTTCTAACTTTTGATATTGTCAAAATCAAAATAAAAAATAAAAAATATACAAAAATTATGTCTGTTCGTCAGTTTAAAACCAACGGCATCAAACCGAGTCACCGACCACATCAGTTTTCTAAAAAACTAAAATCGAAAGAGAATCGAAGAGGAAAGATTTTAGTCGGTTAACTGCTCGAATCATAGCTGATTTTCAGCGATCAGTTCCCACCAAAATCAAAATTTATTAAAAATTTAAAACTATATTTTTTTATCAATTTCAACTATTAATATAGTCAAAATTAAGAGAAAAATTTTTTTGTTGAAACTCATCCAAAAATAAGGCATACAAAATATTAAGTGTGAGGCCAAAGAATGACACACTTCCTTTATATGTGACTCTTGCAATTTCAGTTGTTAGTTGTCAAAGTCTGAAAAGCATAAAATATTAATAAATATTATTGAGACCACAATGATACCAACGAGGACAATGTGGTTCAGTGGTTAGTTGATGGTCTTCTACCATCTAGATTGAAGGTTTGAACTTTCACCTGTACAAAACTCTGTTTGTGTAATAGTGGTCAGTCGGTTCAGTTTAACTGGCAACGGCCTTAGCCATCAAAACCGACAACCGACCGCCCATGTGTGGTGGTCGGTCGGTTAACCGACGTCTGGTACTTGGTTTCGCTTTCGATCGATTAGCAGTCGGTTTCATGTTTGTTTTGAACAACCCTAACAAAAATAATAGAATATTTCACGGTTTAAAATAAAGTACAATAAGATAAGATTACCATTTAGAAAATTTTAACTTCTTTTTTCAACTAATTCTATTATAGGGGAATTAATCTTTTTTATTAGGGCGATTTACACTTGTAGCAAGATTTTGATTTTAAAGTTTAACTTTAGTAAAAATTTTAAAATATTACAAGAATAACAAAATAGTGGTCGGCCGGTTCAGTTTAACTGGCAGCGGCCTTAGCCATCAGAACCGACAACTAACCGCCCATGTGTGGTGGTCGGTCGGTTAACTGACGTCCGGTAATTGGTTTCGCTTTTGATCAGTTTTTTTTTATCAGTTAGCAGTCGGTTTCGCGTTTGTTTTGAGCAACCCTAACAAAAATAATTGAATATTTCACGGTTTAAAATAAAGTACAATAAGATAAGATTACCATTTAAAAAATTTTAACTTATTTTTTCAACTAATTCTATTAGAGGGGAATTCATCTTTTTTATTAGGGCGATTTACACTTGTAGCAAGATTTTGATATTAAAGTTTAAATTTAGTAAAAATTTTAAAATATTATAAGAATAACAAAATTGTATATCATTTTTATGTCATTAAAATAATGACTATATCATTATATAGTACAAAATATGATATTATTATGATAATTACATTGTCATTTTACTATATTTATAATATTTTAAAATTTTTATTAAATTTCAACTCAAGCTATGAAATTTTTCCCTGTAGTATAATTATTACTTTTTATTATGCAATTGTAACACATAGGGCTGACATTTGAAAACCCACATTTCAAGTTAGGACATATTTTTGTAACACACCGTTGGCAACGAAAATGACTATGTGAATGTTATATTCAGCGTTAAAAAATGTGAAAATATATGTTAGTGTATTTTCCATTTTAATATATAAAGTTATTTTAAATACTATATCCATTTTTTGTCATGATTATACGTTTTGAAACTTTTAAACATAAACTTTGTGTTTTGAAATAATTTGTATATGACAATATCTTAATGATTAAATGAAAAAGTTAATATATTAATCAATAATAATCAAATGTACGAATGCTAAATAGCATTCATTACAATTGTATCAATTTTGACCCTAAATATAGTATATACGGATTTTAATACCAACAATGACATTACATTGAAAAGTGTTTTCTCCACTTTTAATCTTTACACACTAAAATGATGTTGTATATTCTTATACTAAAGGAAAGTCTTAAACTCATTCTTACTTCCTAAATAGTAAACCAAATTCCATTTTAGATTTGACTTTTAAAACATCTCAAAATAAGTCATTTATTTTAAAAAAAAAAAAATTGTCTCAAATTAACTATCTCATCCATTTGCTCGTTGAAATATGAATGAAAAGGACATTACTTCATTATTAGAAGTTGTGCCCTAACATATAGAAGTATTAAATTAACTCTCACTAAACCACGCATAGTCCACACATTTTTTTCGTCTATCGAATGCGCGAATGACTACTTTATTACAACTTCATAAATCAGAAACTCGTTTTGTGACATTTTAAAAATTAGAGATCAAAATGTGATTCAACCAATACTTTAGGGTTTAAAATAAGACGAGAAAAAAATATATATCTTGAAATATCTCTATGTCCTTTAGTGAAAATCGTTATACATGGGATACATGCCTATCGGCGTCAAGCAGTCAAGTTCATTCATTGTGACATGACATCCTAATAAGAACAAAGCCACGTTAACAAATGACTAAACCAGGTTAATTCTCACTAAACCACGCATAATCCACCCATTTTTTTGTCTATATTTTAGCAATCAAATGGGCAAATGACTAATTTATTACAACTTCATAAATCAAAAACTTGTTTTATAATATTTTAAAAATTAGAGATCAAAATGTGATTCGGCCAATATTTTAGGGTTTAAAATGAGACGAGAAGAAAAAAAATATCTTGAAATATCGCTATGTCCTTTAGTGAAAACCGTTATACATTGGATACATGCCAGTCGGCGTCAAGCAGTCAAGTTCATTTATTGTGACATGACATCCTAATAAGAATCGCGATCGTGATGAACTCCGCGACATCGATAGTACTGAATCACGTCGAAATTGCGACGGCCATGCCGAATGGCAATGAAATCCGCCACATATGGACAGGTCTTGACGAAATCGCGTCGATCTCCTCCGTGAGTCAATGAGAATCGCGATCTTCATCGCGATGAAATTCGCCGCGCGATGGGTCTTGACGAAATCGCGTTGTTCTCCTCTGCGGGCCAACAGGTCGCGACGAAATCATGCTTTCCGTCGTGAATTGGAGGTTGCCAACAATAAGGGGCGAACCGGAGGTCGTTGTCGGCGTTTAAGAGAGAAGTCGGGATCTGTTTTTTTAGGACGAAGATGAAGATGGGGATTTTAGTTCTCTGCTTCAACACTTATCTTCTCCAACTTGGTACGTTGGGCCCATCTCTAACCTAATTAAAGACAGCCCTTGGACTCTCCCTTTTGTTTCTTCTCAGTTTATGAGTTTACGCTTTTTTCTTTTTATTGTCCTTTCCTTTCAAAAAAATGAAGAAACCCTTGCCTTATTATTTTACTAAAATATCCTCTTTTATAAGATCGTACATCTTACACATGATCGATTTTTAACAAAACTGGACAGAAAGGACTTAATTGCACCAATTAAATGACGTTGGGGACTATTTTATCAAAATTAACAAAATAGGGACCCAACTATTACTATTAAAGAGGTTAGAGACTATTCGTGCCAATTATTCTAAATCAAAACTTGGGCCTTTTATTAAAATAATGCTTAAGAAACAGCCATTCAATTTAAAACCTCTATATATTGTTATTTTAGTTGAGATATTTAGGTAATACCATGGTTTTTAAGGTTGGATTAACTTTTACCATGGGTACTATAAATATTACAAAATATACCACAGTGGCATTACCTAAGTTTTGTGTTTTGATTAAAATTATGCTTGTCCTTTTGTGTATTTGATTCAATATTTTATATTTTATAAGACATTTTGTGATTTTTTATGTATATATTTATAATTTTTATAGATTTTACGATTTTTAAATATCTTTGATTGTAATATTCTCTGAAATAATTTATATCTTCTGACATACGTCAATCTAATTTTAAAACCTGTGATATTCCTGTAAAGTATCCATTTTAGTTTGATGCACCAAATTCTGAAATTGAGGTGTAATTAAAGGATCTACACACGTATAATAGGTAAAGATCGAGGTACGTATAACACAAAAAAAAAAAAACAAATAATAAATAAATACGTAAACTGTTTTTCATTTTAGAAACGTAAACTGATGTTAACATGAACGGTGATAATTAATCTTTTCCTGAAAAAGCATTTTCATAGTCCTCCAATGAAATGTGCACGATTGTCGTTAAATCTTTGGTTCACAAAATTATACGAAAGACAAAAAGATTTATAGTGATATACGTGGCTATGCATAACCAAGCTGGTTTTGTGTCCCTGAAAGAATATCTCCTTCCCTTAGAAAATTCAAACCACTCCATATATTATCTCTCTCTCCCCACTGTAGTGGAATTCATATGAAAATAGTGCACCAACAACAGAAAATAATTCATTTTGATAAAAAAAAACATATACTACAATATGTTGCTCCCTTTTTTTTTTTTTTTTTTTTTTCCTCTTCGTTTGTGTTTTGTTAATTTAGAAGGTGCAATTTTCTCTTTTATATCTTTCTCATCATGTTATTATTTTCTTGCTATATTTGCCCACACAAAAATCTAGATGGGCATTGAAAGCTTAATTACCAACAAAAAAAATAAAAA